CCCCCCAATGAAAAGCAGGGGTGCCACTAGCACGATAAGAGACAACACAATAAGTGTCAGGGGCCCAAGACTGTTCAACTGCCTCCCAGCATACATAAGGGGGATTACCAATAGACCAGCCGGGCTGTGGTTCCTACGTCAGTTTTCTTACGGCCAGCAGTAGCAGCCTGGTTGATAAGACCCTAATCCACCATGAGGCCTGGTCTCAGACCGAGCCGCGGAGGCATTCACCCCTGAAACCCTCTCCAGGTGTGCTCCAGGTATACATATCTATAGTGCATCCAACAAAATAAGTCGCCTCTTGGATGTCACTACCGCCCGGCTCCGGCTGTCACTACCGCCCGGCTCCGGCTGTCACTACCGCCCGGCTCCGGCTGGGTTACAAGTATCTTTGGCAGGTTAAATCACCACCACCAGATGTAGACCAAACGAAATGTAAACTTTGCCAGATGAACTACTGTCACACCCTGCGTCATTATGTACTGGAGTGTGATCAAATTAATGAATTTAGAAACAACTCACTCAGAAATGTTCAAGAAATGTCAAGTATTATATCCACAGTGTTATATTACAAACCATCCTGGAAGAATGTCCTGACTTTACTAAGTGTAAATTAATCATTACCACCGTGTATGTCCAAGTTAATGTCTGCTTAAGTAATTCATACGAGTGTGACCATATGTATATATGTAGAAGTTCATTATCTTTGTAACTTGTTCAGTTGTCAGTACGTTGAGGTCCAGTTCCTGGACCCAGTATGTTCCTCCGTAATCTTTAGACTACGCCCACACCGACGGTATGTTGTGCTTAATAAAAATGTTAAAATATCTAGAATGTGCTTAGTATATTAATAATAATAATAATAATAATAATAATATTACTAATAAAAATAATAATAATAATAATAATAATAATAATAATAATACTAATAAAAATAATAATAAAAATAATAATAATAATAATAATAATAATAATAATAATAATAATAATAATAATAATAATAATAATAATAATAATAATATTACTAATAAAAATAATAATAAAAATAATAATAATAATAATAATAATAATAATAATAATAATAATAATAATAATAATATTATTATTATTATTATTATTTTTTTATTATCACACTGGCCTATTCCCACCAAGGCAGGGTGGCCCGAAAAAGAAAAACTTTCACCATCATTCACTCCATCACTGTCTTGCCAGAAGGGTGCTTTACACTACAGTTTTTAAACTGCAACATTAACACCCCTCCTTCAGAGTGCAGGCACTGTACTTCCCATCTCCAGGACTCAAGTCCGGCCTGCCGGTTTCCCTGAACCCCTTCATAAATGTTACTTTGCTCACACTCCAACAGCACGTCAAGTATTAAAAACCATTTGTCTCCATTCACTCCTATCAAACACGCTCACGCATGCCTGCTGGCAGTCCAAGCCCCTCGCACACACAACCTCCTTTACCCCCTCCCTCCAACCTTTCCTAGACCGACCCCTACCCCGCCTTCCTTCCACTACAGACTGATACACTCTTGAAGTTATTCTGTTTCGCTCCATTCTCTCTACATGTCCGAACCACCTCAACAACCCTTCCTCAGCCCTCTGGACAACAGTTTTGGTAATTCCGCACCTCCTCCTAACTTCCAAACTACGAATTCTCTGCATTATATTCACACCACACATTGCTCTCAGACATGACATCTCCACTGCCTCCAGCCTTCTCCTCGCTGCAACATTCATCACCCATGCTTCACACCCATATAAGAGCGTTGGTAAAACTATACTCTCATACATTCCCCTCTTTGCCTCCAAGGACAAAGTTCTTTGTCTCCACAGACTCCTAAGTGCTCCATTCACCCTTTTCCCCTCATCAATTCTATGATTCACCTCATCTTTCATAGACCCATCCGCTGACACGTCCACTCCCAAATATCTGAATACATTCACCTCCTCCATACTCTCTCCCTCCAATCTGATATCCAATCTTTCATCACCTAATATTTTTGTTATCCTCATAACCTTACTCTTTCCTGTATTCACTTTCAATTTTCTTCTTTTACACACCCTACCAAATTCATCCACCAATCTCTGCAACTTCTCTTCAGAATCTCCCAAGAGCACAGTGTCATCAGCAAAGAGCAACTGTGACAACTCCCACTTTATGTGTGATTCTTTATCTTTTAACTCCACGCCTCTTGCCAAGACCCTCGCATTTACTTCTCTTACAACCCCATCTATAAATATATTAAACAACCACGGTGACATCACACATCCTTGTCTAAGGCCTACTTTTACTGGGAAATAATTTCCCTCTTTCCTACATGCTCTAACTTGAGCCTCACTATCCTCGTAAAAACTCTTCACTGCTTTCAGTAACCTACCTCCTACACCATACACTTGCAACATCTGCCACATTGCCCCCCTATCCACCCTGTCATACGCCTTTTCCAAATCCATAAATGCCACAAAGACCTCTTTAGCCTTATCTAAATACTGTTCACTTATATGTTTCACTGTAAACACCTGGTCCACACACCCTCTACCTTTCCTAAAACCTTGTTCATCTGCTATCCTATTCTCCGTCTTACTCTTAATTCTTTCAATAATAACTCTACCATACACTTTACCAGGTATACTCAACAGACTTATCCCCCTATAATTTTTGCACTCTCTTTTATCCCCTTTGCCTTTATACAAAGGAACTATGCATGCTCTCTGCCAATCCCTAGGTACCTTACCCTCTTCCATACATTTATTAAATAATTGCACCAACCACTCCAAAACTATATCCCCACCTGCTTTTAACATTTCTATCTTTATCCCATCAATCCCGGCTGCCTTACCCCCTTTCATTTTACCTACTGCCTCACGAACTTCCCCCACACTCACAACTGGCTCTTCCTCACTCCTACAAGATGTTGTTCCTCCTTGCCCTATACACGAAATCACAGCTTCCCTATCTTCATCGACATTTAACAATTCCTCAAAATATTCCCTCCATCTTCCCAATACCTCTAACTCTCCATTTAATAACTCTCCTCTCCTATTTTTAACTGACAAATCCATTTGTTCTCTAGGCTTTCTTAACTTGTTAATCTCACTCAAAAACTTTGTCTTATTTTCAACAAAATTTGTTGATAACATCTCACCCACTCTCTCATTTGCTCTCTTTTTACATTGCTTCACCACTCTCTTAACCTCTCTCTTTTTCTCCATATACTCTTCCCTCCTTGCATCACTTCTACTTTGTAAAAACTTCTCATATGCTAACATTTTCTCCCTTACTACTCTCTTCACATCATCATTCCACCAATCGCTCCTCTTCCCTCCCGCACCCACTTTCCTGTAACCACAAACTTCTGCTGAACACTCTAACACTACATTTTTAAACCTTCCCCATACCTCTTCGACCCATTGCCTATGCTCTCATTAGCCCATCTATCCTCCAATAGCTGTTTATATTCTTACCCTAACTGCCTCCTCTTTTAGTTTATAAACCTTCACCTGTCTCTTCCCTGATGCTTCTATTCTCCTTGCATCCCATCTACCTTTTACTCTCAGTGTAGCTACAACTAGAAAGTGATCTGATATATCTGTGGCCCCTCTATAAACATGTACATCCTGAAGTCTACTCAACAGTCTTTTATCTACCAATACATAATCCAACAAACTACTGTCATTTCGCCCTACATCATATCTTGTATACTTATTTATCCTCTTTTTCTTAAAATATGTATTACCTATAACTAAACCCCTTTCTATACGAAGTTCAATCAAAGGGCTCCCATTATCATTTACACCTGGCACCCCAAACTTACCTACCACACCCTCTCTAAAAGTTTCTCCTACTTTAGCATTCAGGTCCCCTACCACAATTACTCTCTCACTTTGTTCAAAGGCTCCTATACATTCACTTAACATCTCCCAAAATCTCTCTCTCTCCTCTGCATTCCTCTCTTCTCCAGGTGCATACACGCTTATTATGACCCACTTCTCGCATCCAACCTTTACTTTAATCCACATAATTCTTGAATTTACACATTCATATTCTCTTTTCTCCTTCCATAACTGATCATTCAACATTACTGCTACCCCTTCCTTTGCTCTAACTCTCTCAGATACTCCAGATTTAATCCCATTTATTTCCCCCCACCGAAACTCCCCTACCCCCTTCAGCTTTGTTTCGCTTAGGGCCAGGACATCCAACTTCTTTTCATTCATAACATCAGCAATCATCTGTTTCTTGTCATCCGCACTACGTCCACGCACATTCAAGCATCCCAGTTTTATAAAGTTTTTCTTCTTCTCTTTTTTAGTAAATGTCTACAGGAGAAGGGGTTACTAGCCCATTGCTCCCGGCATTTTTAGTCGCCTCATACGACACGCATGGCTTACGGAGGAAAGATTCTTTTCCACTTCCCCATGGACAATAGAAGAAATAAAGAGGAACAAGAGCTATTTAGAAAAAGGAGAAAAACCTAGATGTATGTATATATATATATGCATGTGCGTGTCTGTGAAGTGTGACCAAAGTGTAAGTAGGAGTAGCAAGATATCCCTGTTATCTACCAGCAATCCTACCATCATGCAAAACAGTTACAGGTTTCTGTTTCACAGTCATCTGGCAGGACGGTAGTACTTCCCTGGGTGGTTGCTGTCTACCAACCTACTACCTATTATTATTATTATTATTATTATTATTATTATGAATTTATTGGTTGACTTTAATTAAGCCCAGTTAAGCGTCAGTCACTTGTACGATTATTTTGAATGTAGTAATTAACTGTTGACTTACCTCCAAGTACGTATATTATAATCCCTAAAATAGGGATTAAAGTTCTGGATATATGATCACTAAGAGTGATACACATCTCTTAATATATATATTCTTACCCAACCTTATTATCAACAACAAACTGATATGTAGTAAAGGTTTAGCTTGATAATATTGTAAGGTATATAAGAGTGAAGGATGAAGACAGGGAGTGTATATATTACCTTGCGGCCATGATGCGCTATGGCTCTACTCTTCTCTGGTGAGTAGTGATGTGTGTGTCCTGGAGGTGTTGGTTTATTTGACTCCCCAGCGGTCAGGACTGACCAAATGAAACAGGTACCAACAAGCTGTTGCATAGTCTCTACCCTGTGTGTTTAGGGCTCAAGTGAGGTACTGAAGTAACAGTACTGACGACTTTACTAGTTGCTAGAGGAGGATAGCATTGTATCACCGCTACCACACTTGAAGCGCAGCGCTATCACAATTCCTAGAAAACCTATCAGGTGGACAATTAAGTGGGTGGCACTCACGAGGGCACGACGCTAGTCACTCAGAAATATAACCCATACTTAAACTTAATCCTAAGTCAAAAACTTTTGTGAGTGGCACTTATAGTCAGCAGAACTGCTGGCATCTCTAACCTGCAGTGTGGGTAAATCCTTTGTTCTTCACAGTGGGTGACACCAGTGTTAAGCAGAGTGGGTGACTCCCATACCTGAAGAGAAGGTAGCACATTTCCGCGGAGTGGATGTCACCTCTGTTCGGCAGTGGTTGGCATCCTTGTTTTGCAGAGTAGGTGGCAACTTTGGCCTGCAATATAGGTGGCACCCAGAGTGGATCATCCAGTAGCAAACACTTACCACTTGCTAGTGACACTATCAAACACTTACCACTTGCTAGTGACACTATCAAACACTTACCACTTGCTAGTGACACTATCAAACACTTACCACTTGCTAGTGACACTGTCAAAGGGCCGACATAAAAAAATGAGATTTTTTAAATTATATTCTATATTTCTTAATAAAACATCCAAATTGTTCTTATTTTCCCCATAATTACTATTTTACTCTCTAGCATCTTGTTTCATTCTTCTCCTTTTCTCTGTCTTATCCAGATTTTTCTCACATAAACCATAATGTAATCTACTTCCGTAAATTAAAATTTTGAGAGGTAATCAGATCCTCTCAACTGTTACATTTAATTTATACAGTATTATATTATTATATTATTATCAAAGTGTTATTTTTTTTTAAATATGTTACTATTTACACGAATATTTTTAGGTAAACAAAATAAACTTGGCGAAAAAATAAGCAACAAACACAGTAAAATTTTCCCATGACATTTCCAAGCTGTACTATCAGTTTTCAAACGCGATTATTCAGAAGTCAACTTCGCGTTCTCAGTAGCACGGATAGTCACAAACCCTGAGTAAAATTTGTGACACGACTATTCTCGTGACGCAGTCACTATTCTTGATTAGTGGAGTTTCAGTGGCAGTCACTGGATCATGTGGAGGTCAGTGACAGTTCACTGATTCACGTGGGGGTTGTCAGTGGCAGTCACTGATCATGTGGGGGTGTCAGTGACAGTCACTGATCACGTGGGGGTGTCAGTGACAGTCACTGATCATGTGGAGGTGTCAGTGATAGTCACTGATCATGTAGGGGTGTCAGTGACAATCACTGATTATGTGGGGGTGTCAGTGACAGTCACTGATCATGTGGGGGTGTCAGTGACAATCACTGATTATGTGGGGGTGTCAGTGACAGTCACTGATCATGTGGAGTTGTCAGTGATAGTCACTGATCATGTGAAGTTATCAGTGACAGTCACTGATCATGTGGAGTTGTCAGTGACAGTCACTGATTATGTGGGGGTGTCAGTGACAGTCACTGATCATGTAGTGTACTCACCTGCTTGTGGTTCCACTGGTCGATTCACAGCTCTTAGCCCCGCCTATTCACTGCTCGCTATTAAGTCACTCTTCCTGGCCCGTGAGCTTTATCATACCTCTTCTTAAAGCTGTGTATGGATCCTGCCTCCAATAAATCACTTCCCAGACTATTCAATTTCCTGAAAACTCTGTGACCGAAGAAATACTTGTAACATCCCGGTGATTCTTCTGAGTCTTCAGTTTCCAACTGTGACTCCTTTGTTGCTGTGTCCAATCCCTGGAACATCATGTCTCTGCCCACCTTGTCAATTCCTCAGTATTTCATATGTCATTATCATGTCCCCCCTATCTCTCCTGTCCTCCAGTGTCGTCAGGTTGATTTCCCTTAACCTCTTCTCGTAGGACATGCCCCTTAGCACCGGGTCTAGTCTTGTTGCAAACCTTTGCACTTTCTCTAACTTCCTTACGTGCTTGGCTACGTGTGGGGTCCAAACTGGTGCTGCATACTCCAATATGGGCCTAATGTGCGCCTCAGATGTACCCAGTGTTAGTCTCACCCCAAGATCTTTTCCTTGAGTAAGGTTTGTAGTCTCTGGCCCCCTAGACTGTGCTCCGTCTGCGGTCTTCTTTACACTTCCCCAATCTTCATGACTTTGCCCTTGGTGGGGGTTGAACTCAAAGATCCAGTTTCTAGACTAGGCCTGCAGCCTGTCCAGATCCCTTTGTAATTCTGCCTGGTCTTCGTCCGATTGAATTCTCATCAACTTCACATCATTTTCAAACAGGGACAATTCTGATTCTATTCCTTCCGTCATGTAGTTCACATATACCAGAAACAGCACTGGTCCTAGGACTGACCCCTGTGAAACCCCACTCGTCGCAGGCGCCCACTCTGACACCTCGTCACGTACCATGAATAGCTGTTGTCTTCCCGACAGGTATTCCCTGATCCATTGCAGCACCATCCCTGTTATACCTGCCTGGTCCTCAAGCTTATGCACTAATCTCTTCTGTGGAACTGTGTCAATAGACCTTCTACAGTTCAAGAAAGTGCAATCTACCCACTCTCTCTCTCTCTCATGTCTTACTGCTGTCACCCTGTCATGGAACTCCAGAAAGCTTGTGACAGGATTTCCCATTCCCAAAACCGTGCTGGGTGTCGTTGATAAGCTCATTCCTTTCTAGGTTCTCGACCATTCTACTTCTGATAATCTTCTCCATGACTTTTCGTATACTGTTCATGTCAGTGGCACTTGTCTGTAGCTTAATGCTTCGTATCTATCTCCCTTTTTAAAAATTGGGACTACATTTGCACTCTTCCATTTCTCTAGGTAGTCGCAATGTTTCGATTGATGTGTTGAAGATTGTTGTTTGTGACGCAACCAGCTCCTCTGCTCCCTCTCTCAGGATCCATGGAGAGATGTTATCCGGTCCCATTGCCTTTAAGGTATCTAGCTCGCTCAGCAGCCTCTTCACTTCTTCCTCGGTTGTAAGTATTGTGTCCAACACTTGATGTACCCCATATCTGCATCTTTCTGGAGTCTCTTCTGTCTCCTCTGTGAACACTTCTTCGAATCTCATGTTGAGGTCCTCACATACTTCTCGGTCTTTTCTTGGGATTTCCCCTCCTTCCTTCCTCAGCCTGATTACCTGGTCCTTTACTGTTGTTTTTCCTCCTGATGTGGCTGTACAACAACTTCATGTCAGATTCGGCTTTCACTGTTATGTCATTTTGTACTGTCGTTGGGCCTCCCTTCTTACCTGTGCATATTCATTCCTGGCTCTACAACTGCTCTCCTTAATCTCCTGGGTTCTTTGCCTTTTATATTTCTTCCATTCTCTAGCACACTTGGTTTTGGCCTCTCTACACCTTTGGGTGAACCATGGGCTCATCCTGGCCTTCTCGTTATTTCTGTTACACTTGCATACAAACCTCTACCTGGAGTATACATGGGGATCAACGCCTCCGCAGCCCGGTCTGCGAGTAGGCCTCATGGTGGATCAGGGCCTGATCAACCAGGCTGTTACTGTTGGCCGCTTGCAACCCGACGTACGAAGCACAGCCCGTCTGCTCAGGTACTTTAGGTGCCTGTCCAGTGCCTTCTTTGAAGACAGCCAGAGGTCTATTGGTATTTCCCCTTATGTATGCTGGAAGGCAGTTGAACAGTCTTGGGTCCCTGATACTTGTTGTGTTGTCTCTTATCGGGCTTGTGGTGCCCCTGCTTTTCATTGAGGGGATGTTGCACAGTCTACCCGGTGGCCCGGTGGCCCGGTGGCCCGGTGGCCCGGTGGCCCGGTGGCCCAGTGGCCCGGTGGCCCGGTGGCCAGGTGGACCGGTGGCCCGGTGACCCGGTGGCCCGGTGGCCCGGTAGCCCGGTGGCCCGGTGGCCCGGTGGCCTGGCAAGGTGGCCAGGTGGCCTGGTAGCCAAAGCTCTCGCTTCACACGCGGAGGGCCCGGGTTCGATTCCTGGCGGGTGGAAACATTTCGACACGTTTCCTTACACCTGTTGCCCTGTTCACCTAGCAGCAAATAGGTACCTGGGAGTTAGTCGACTGGTGTGGGTCGCATCCTGGGGGACAAAATTAAGGATCCCAATGGAAATAAGTTAGACAGTCCTCGACGACGCACTGACTTTCTTGGGTTATCCTGGGTGGCTAACCCACCGGGATTAAAAATCCGAACGAAATCTTATCTTATCTTATCTTACCGAGTCTTTTGCTTTCATAGGAAGCGATTTTCGTGTGCAAACTTGGTACTAATTCTTCTAGGATTTTCCAAGTGTATATAATCACGTATCTCTCCCGCCTGCGTTCTAGGGAGTACAGGTTTAAGAACTTTTAGCATTCCCATTAACTGAGGTGTTTTATCTCCGTTATGCGCGCCGTGAAGGTTCTCTGTACATTTTCTAGGCCAACAATTTCACCTGCCTTGAAAGGTGCTGTTAGTGTGCAGCAATATTCCAGCCTAGATAGAACAAGTGACCTGAAGAGTGTCATCATGGGCTTCGCATCCCTAGTTTTGAAGGTTCTCATTATCCATCCTGTCATCTTTCTAGCAGATGCGATTGACACAATGTTGTGGTCTTTGAAGGTGAGATCGTATGACATTATCACTTCCAGGTCTTTGACATTAGTTTCTCGCTCTATTTCATATCGGAGTAATTGAAATTTTTCATCATTGAACTTCATATTGTTTTCTGCAGCCCATTTAAAGATTTGGTTGATGTCCGCCTGGAGTCTTGCAGTGTCATGCAAATTCGGGTGTCATCTGCAAAGGAAGACACGGCGCTGTGGCTCATATCCCTGTCTATGTCAGATATGAGGATGAGGAACAGGATGAGAGCGAGTACTGTGCCTTGTGGAACAGAGCTTTTCACCGTAGCCGCCTCAGACTTTGCTCTACTTACGACTTCTCTTTGTGTTCTATTTGTTAGGAAATTATAGATCCATCACACTCTTCAGAGGCTTTTGCAAAGCCTGTGTATGCTAAATCTGCATT